GAGCTCAAGGGCAACAAAAACTCATTTAGTTGGAAAATGTAAGAATATTTAAATGTAACATTGAGATACAACACAGAATCTTGGATAATTAAAAGGGAACATTCCATACATTGGTCTAACTCCTACATGTTAAGCACTTGCAACTTTGGACAATACTACCCTTCTAAACATTTTTGACACTTGTGAATAAAACAAAAAAAACAAAAAACAAAAAACCACCCTAAAAACTACGTTTACAATATTACGTTACTATAGCACAGTTTTACTTTATTGTTATTTGAAAGTACATTATTTGTGTGGTTATAAGTGGTTACATTCATTCTGCTTAATACAAAAAGTCACTGCAAAAATGTTTCTCTAAGACAAAAGCAACTGCATTATTTTTTATTTTTCCATATACATCTGAAAGAACCTTAGGATTTGCTCACACATCATTTTTGTAACTTGTGTTTAGGAGTTATCTTACCATTTCTGAATTCATTTTATGTATACAAACAAGAAATCATCCCATTCAGTATCTAGAGTAGATTAACGGTTACAAGTTGGCACTAGAGTCTATATCACTACTCATTTACCCCACTAGCTTTAAACAAGGCTAGTGATGGAATGCAATACAACTCAATAAGTAAAAATTATCATTTAATGCTCTATCTAGCAAGGGTTATGCTTTGTCAATGAATTAATAAACATAAAATAAATCCATGCAGAAAGCCATAGGCTCATAGTAGCATACAGCAGTTTTACTAAACTAATCAGAGTTGTTTGCAATCATTAATTCGTAATTCATCCTTTGGGGATTTCCCTACCTAATCTGTCTAAAATCATCTGTTAACAATGCTGAAGAGCAAGAAAGCTGTTCTAATTCTTTTTGTGCAGGATCACTGTGAGGCAGTTTTGATTTAATACTCATTCTGCTGGAGAACTACAAAAATTTGTTTAATCTATAGAAAAGTCATTAATCAGATCTCATAAATTTGAAAGATAAGATTCCATTGAAAAAGAGCAATTGATTTTCAGCTATGTCAGTAAGAGGCATCTTACTTCAGCTACTTGAAATGTTCATCTGACTCATTTATCACATCAAAGACTAAGGTACTGAACGTTATAAAGCAGTAGCCAAGTTTAACTCAAAGCCAAAGCCAATTTCACCATCCAAGGGTTCACAGAAAAAAAAAAACCAAACTGAAACCACAGCTGTTTCACGGTAGTACTGTTGCTCATGTGATAAAATGTTCAAGTGTAATTTTTCTTGTAAAGCAGAATATGATTACTGATATTAACATCATGAATTATCAATGTGACAAAATAATTTCATTTACCTATTTAGGATATTCTAAGGTACTCCTGTGCTCCCCAGCATACCTTAAAAACCACAACTGTAAATTATTATCTATTTCCCTTTCACTGTTTCGTAACAGCCTAGGTTCAATAACTAAATAGCTGTCAATTAAAAACTGGCCTCAGTAAAGGGAAACCTGCAACCACATCAGCCCAGAAATTTAACTGATACTGTGCCTGAAGTAATGACATTATCTACAGCCAGATGACAAACTCATAAGATGAACTTTCCTGCATAAATCAAAGAGAAAGAATCAGGCTCCTTTAGGGGCACAGAGTACCAAGTGTAGGCTGAGTAACAGTTGAGCTGCTGCAAGCTTCATTTTCCAGAAAAAGAATTTGTATCGAGTGGAAGATTCGTGATAGAAACCACAAGCTCACAACTTAACCCACAATACCTGTGGAAGCGAACGGAGAAGAGTCAGTGAGTTAGTGACTAATTGAAACTAATGAGGTACAACTCTGTACACAGGCAGCAGACCATATGCTTCCAGACTCGACAGCAGCTAATGCGTATGCCTCTGCATCCATGGCACAGTTTCTCTGCGGTACAGGATGTAAACTAAGAAGAGTTTAGCAGGACGTTCGCTTCACTCAGTACAAGTTACAACGCAAGCTTCTACGCCGTAATTCATAATTTTATTACTCAAGAGTAGTGCCAAGTCTCAAGTCTAAAGTGAGTACCAAATTAATTCACACAGAAGAAAACCCTGGAAAAGAGGAGGAACAGCTTCTCAAACCTTGCAAGTTACCAGAATTTTTAAAGTACTGATGGAGAAAGAGTAGTACCCAAGAAGCATTTTGAAAGGAATGCACTCAGATTTTTTTTTTTTTTTCCTCAGATGCACTGAAGAAAGCAATGAGTTTAAGACAAATATGGATTACCCTACTTTTTCCAAAAAGAAATTTTCCCATCCTCCAGAAAGAGCTGTAAGGGGCAAACTGCAAGCCCTGGCACCATACTAGAGCAAGAACAACCAAAAAGATAAGAACCCTTTAGCACCTTAGAGGTGGGAAAAGGAAAAAAGACCTAGAGGTACCAAAAAATGCCTAGTGAAAAAAGGCAGCCAAGGGATTTGCTGGAACAAATCTCTCAGTGAATCTACTACACGGGAAATGCAAATAAGCTGAAATGGATGGGAGCTTGGACTGAATGCTGAAGTTCAGGAAGGGAATGAGACTACACACACTCCTTAATTTTATGAATGCTGTCCAGAAAGTATGAGAGACACTTCTATTTAGTCTCTAAAGGAGAAAGAGAGAACACATTTGATTCACACCAAGTTCAAAAGTAAGTATATAATGAGCCTGTACTGCAACACAATACTACGACTACAGACATTCAAACATCAGCTTATATACAAGATTGATGCATGATGTGGAGGAAAAACAGATAGGGAAAACGTGGTGGGTTTTTTCTCCACAATTTTTGTAGACTTCCAAGAATAAAAAGCTAGGGATATCGAGATTGAAGTCTAGCAGTGCTCTTAATATAGGACTCCCTGCTTTAAAGCTGTTAGCAAAAAAAACACCATTAAGACAAATCCATGACTGAATAATTCCCAAGATTACTAGTTTTGCAGCTATTAAGTTTAGAAGAAATAAACACTCATTGCAAGGTATTGTGTGTGTATGTCACTTATTGTATATAAACCTCTTACACAGGTTTTGGCCAGTGTTGGCGCCACACGTGTACATCCCCCCAAAAATAAGCCTTGTGAAGCTCCTTTGCTACATCCAGAGGAAACGTCCTTCAGTAAGAAGACATACTAAGGTCCATGTCTACAAGTATATTGAAGAACTGAATGCGAGTTGCTGTTCGGAGTTCTGCTGCTACTAGGTACAACATGAGCGACCTAGTAGTTTCCAGTCACCTGAGTACTTCCAAGCCAACGAGACCACAAACCAGCTTCCCCAAAGACACTGCTAGCCTACAGACAAAAATTCAAAGACAAATGTCACAGAACAGTAGCATACTGAACTCCATGTCTACAGTTCTACACTTCTCTTAAATCTCTCTCTTTGATAGAACATGCTTGTCCAGTTCCATGGAGAATAACATCACTTCCACCAAACATACAGTAGCTTACCATCTATTACAGTCCATTTCTTCAGGAGTTATAACCCTGATATACTCTGTTACTTCCTTAACACAGCTTTGCCCCATCCCTTTGACAGAAAGTAAGAACAGAGCAGAGCAGCTATTCATATTTGTGCTCAACTACAAAAGAAAGTGAAGCGATCCCTACTCCAGAATGTAGCTATGTGATGCGGAATCAAAGTGACTGCAGAAGAGGCTATGAAAATATTGGATAAAGTGAACCGGAACAACTTGCCAACATTAGATGTTATTCACTAAGATTTCAAGGGACTCAAAGATGCAACAGATTATATCAACTTTCTCATGCAACCTCCTGCTTAAAACTAGATTGACAATTGATGTATGGAGGTTGCCCGACACTTGTACATCGCAAATCAATACAAAAAAATTAGGAAGAACAAAAGTAGTGGACACCCAAATAAATATGATGTACTGGCAAAGACTCATCGTGGTGCTTGTTAAAAGAATTCCTGCCTTGCAAAACACCCAGATTTCTCTGTAGAGATCACCGATTACATGCATAAGGAGACACTCTGCTGAAAGAAAACTTAAGAAACAAAGTCCATACCAAAGGTTTTAAAGGACACCCAGCAAGTATCTGAAAAAAATGAAACAAGGCCCTTTGTATGAATATTTAACTCATTAAGAGACAGAATGATGAGAAGCAAGATGAAGGAAGGCAAGAAGTAAATGACTGCTTACTTTAATAGAGGGAGATGACCAATGGAGTTCCACAGAAACCTGCACTGGGACATGGATTATTCTACATAATCATAAAGAGGGAGGACAGATAAGCGGGTAACAAAGCGATGAAAATTTGCTGGTGATCCTAAGTTATTCAGGACAGTAAAGGTAAGATCTGACTACAGAATTGCAGAAACATCTTGCAACGCTGACCAGGGAACAAAACGTCAGACAAAAAAAAAAAAAAAAAATCACTGCAGATTGAAGTGATACAGACAGGAAAGTACCATCCTAGCTTCCTATAGGAAAGCTAGGTCCTAGCTGACCATTACCCCTCAGCAGCAAGATCTTTTCATTACAATACATACCTCCATGAAAAGTCAGACTTGTTTATGATGAAGAGGACTTCCAGGGTTATCTAGCCCAGCTCCCTGCCCAAATCAGGTCCAGTCAGAGCGTGTTGTTCAGGACCTGGTCCAATTAGTTCTGAACATCTCCAAAATTGCAGACTCTGTAGGTGCTCTGCACACCTCGTCCAGTGTCTGACCACCTTTATATTGGAAAAGGCCTTTTCTTATATCTCATCAGACTTTCTCATGTTCCAACTTCTGTCCACTGCTTCTTGTCCTATCACCATACATGCCTGGGATCAGTCTGTCTTCTCCATACCTGCCGATAAGGTGGGTAGCTGTAGACCACAGTAAACTCTGCCATTGGCCAAATGAAAAATCACTGCAGATTAAAGTGATACAGATGGGAAAGTACCATCCTAGCTTCTTACATGAAAGCTAGGTCCTAGCTGACCATTACGCCTCTCTTCTTGAGCTGGAACAAACCCGCTTCCTTCAACCTCTCCTCTTATGTCACATGCTCCACTATGTCAATGTTTTCCCTTGTACCGGGGAGCGCAGAATTGGATGTGGTACTCCAGATGCTGTCTCACAAGTGCCAACGAGAAGGGGAGAATCATTTCTGCAGCCTGCTGGTCATTCCTACTTTTCTGCAGCCTGCTGGTTACATTCCTGCTAACAACCCCGCGTGCAGCTGGCCATCGTTGCTGACTGCTGTTCAACTCTTTGTCCACCAGGACACCCCCGTCTTTCCTTGCAAAGGTTCTCTATACACAACTGATCCCAGGCTGTACTGCTGCGTGGTGTTATCCTAGCCCAGATGCAGAACTTGGTATTATTGCCTTTGTTGGACTTCACAAGCTTCCCATCAGATCATCTCTCTGGCTTGTCCCTCTGCCTAGCAGCCCTGTCCTCCAGCGTATCAGACTCTCCCCAATTCACTGTAGGGGAGTTCCAATGCCTGTTGAATGTGCCGGCCCCTCATCCCAACGTTCAGATCATTAGTAAAAATGTTGAATAATATTGGCCCCTGTATCAGGCCCTGAGGGACGCCACTGGTAATTGATCAAAAAGCCAGAGAAAAAGTCAGATTATAGACAGACCTCTAGCTTGATCCAGTATGGCTATTTTAAAGTCATACCTTCAGTCTGAAAAACCACATCAGTGAGCTTTTCACATAAGTGGGAAAATATCAGGCGTTGGTTCTTCTTTGGGCTCTAATATGTAACTCCAGAAACTTCTGGAAAAACAGAATACTGGCAGAACATTATGTAACATTATATAACTATTTAGTGTTTACTGAAATGTGAATTATTTTAGCTAGCCTCAGAGAAAGCAAGGAAACACCACCATAGTAAAGAACGGGTTTGTTTTATCCACCTCAAGGCATGTACCACTGTTAACTTACTCAGAATCTAAGACTGACAATAGCAAAATTCAGAGACACTGGTATCATGGGCTTTTTGTAGTTATTTAAGCTTTTATTTTGACTATATAGGTCAAGCCAATTCCAAAACGTTTGACAGGATCTCCTGTAACAAGAAGGTTGGAAAAACATGTTCAGTAACATGTGGGCACGCAATCATTCTCCAAAGTGCCTATGACAAAATGGGCTTTCTGAAGGTTGAGCAGCTAGCTGTAATCGCAGAGGTCTACACTCAGGATGTTGGAGGATAGGTCACCTTCAACTATGAAAACTGACTTTGTTCTTTCGGGAACATACACAGACAGAGCTCAAAGTTCCCTCTTAGTGAACTTTTTCCAAGTAACTGACTGTGAAGGTTGACAAAAACCTATTCTGAAGTTTCTCAGAGTGCTTCCTCAGAACAGATCCAGACAGACAGACTCCTACAGCTGTGAAGATACCCAACTGCTGCTGGACTCGCAAAGAGGTACATACTGGCAGCTGAGGAAGTTGCTGGTGGAGCCACATCCTGGAAAGTGCTTTTTCCCCCGTCTTTGCCTTTCCTCAACTGTTTAAATGACTTGTTATTAAATGAGTCAGCACTGACCACTCTGAACACCCTTCCTGACTTGTGTTGCCAAAAACTTTCCATAAAAAAAAAAAAAAAAATCAAACCCAACATAATTAGACTGGAAATGGGTAGCAGTAGTGAAGGAGATGTCCAGATTTTAAAGAACACTGTACTATTTACATGCGGAACACTGAACTAAAGACACCTATCCAGAAGAAGAGAATTCTACTTGTTCTAAAGAAAATTGTGGGGTTTGACCCCAAAAGCCATACTTTCTGAACTGCATGCCACATGCTTTGCACAATACTGTAGAATGATTCCCTTCACAGTACAGATATGTAGATAGTGAAAAACAAGTGTTAGCAAAGATGGTTAATACCGTGGCTTATATCTGCTGTATTCTTTTGTCATTTGTGGCACTGTTAGAAAAGGGCCACATCAGGGTCTGAACAGATGTAGAGAAAATGAAGACAAGTTTAACTCTGTAAATAGTAAGTTTTAAAAACAAATGTATCAAGAAACGTATCCAGTAATGACTCTAAGGGTAATTTCTCCTGCTGGGAAAACAGGAATCTTATACTACTGCTGGCAGCAAATATACTCTGATACTATATAAGAAAAATGAAGCTGCCAAGTGCAATTAAAAAAATTAAATAATCAAACAAAAATAACCATCACATTTGCTGAGTAAGAGCAAGTAGTCAAACACACATTTACAGTATTACACATCAATTAGGACGATGTACTATACAGTACATGAATTTCAATAATGCAGCCTTTTTTTTTTTTCTTGAAGAAAATAGATTTAGCTCCACAAGAAAGATTGAAAGTGAGTTTGTCAGACAAGGCACCTTTTGTTTCCTCTTTGCTTAAAATAAGCAGTGAAAAGCAGTAGCAACATTCTGACTTTTTTTTCAGTAGTATACAAGTATCACATAGCGCTTCTCAGCTTTTAACAAAGGGGTAAACTGTGAAGTTAACTTCACAGCAAGAACAAATCCCTTTGCGAGTGTATTTCATACAAGCAGAAAAACGAAGTCCTGAGCATTACTGCTGATACATAGCTTATGGAGAATATAAAAACAAATTCTGAGATTAAGCACTCTATAAACACCCTTTCTGCATAAATACCCAAACAAAGCCAGCCAGTGAGACCTCTACTGAACAATCTAGATGAAACGATACAGACAGAACTGATAAACCAGTACAGTAAGTGGGGCATTTTATCAGGCAAGTGTAGGGAGCTACCGCTGATACCATCAGCGGCTTCAGCCTGAATCTGAACAGAGCTCAGCGCTCACACTTCCAGGGAACAAGTTCAACAAGCTCGTCTGAAGTCTGGGGCGCTTTACCAGGAAAAGAGTAAGCTCTGACTGTTTGTTCACAAATGCTCGGGCACCTTACACCGTATACAGGGGATGTGAAAGATGCTTAGCACTTCTGGAAGACGCAGTCATAGGTTGTGTGGTCAATGAAAAATCATATGTGACATATTACTTGTGCAAAGGATCCACAGAGAAATAAGACCAGTGTTTTTAAGGAGTATTCCAGAGAAATACGAATGTGCACATCTTCACAGAACTCTGTTAAAAGTAAGAATTTAACATATGCAATTAAATTCAGCCTTTGCAGTTGGAGGGGTTTCTGTTTGCTCTTAAGCTTCCTAAAAGCCTCCATATTTTATCTCTCTCAGCTGTTTCAGGAGTAGAAAATTCACTGAACTTTAATTTCACTTTGCCTTGAAACAAGTGGTTTAATCCCTCCTATGGGCTTCTTCGAAGTGACCGCGGTTTCCTCAAACAGAGAAAGACAAATTACCATGATAAGTACAGAAATACAATTACCCATCACAAACCCTTCCTGCAGCCCAGCTGTACAAATGCAAAACAAGGCTTACAACAGCTTGTTTCCAGATGGGCTATAGTGGTATAAACATAACTCGACCTCACCAGGACTAGTTATTCTTGCGTGGCTGTTACACATCGTTTAATGATTTTGTACAGATAGGTTTTGACTTGCTAACTTTAATAATCAGCGCTCAAAGTACAAAAATGCTATACAGCAAACACTGCGCTGTTTTCATGCATTATTTTTCAAGAAAGAAAAATTTTATTTGGTATATAAACGCCAATTTTGTAACTAAAGATCTAAAAAAAAAAAAAAAACAACATCGAAGTGGTTGACATATAATTACTTAGCAGACCACTTGAAAGCCTGATTATTTTTTTTTTTTATGCTCACTTAGCACTGTGTGGGGCACGTTTAAGAGGTCAACAAGACACAGTTTGCATATTATTTAACTTCTTAAACTGCGGGTACTATCCTCGGGTGCGATAAGAGCTCCAATCAATGCAACGCTCAGGCCAGACCGCGAAAACGCAAAGCTTCGCCAAATCCCCTTGCAAGCCGACCGCTCTCACCAGCACCGAGCTGTGAGAAAAGGAGAAGGCTCCCATGCGGAAAACCATCAGGCGAGAGACCGGGGAAGCCGAGGGGGGGAAACTCGGGCGGGCGGCGTGCACGGCTCCCGCCGCCCCGCGGCGCCCCCCGGCCCCCCCCCCCCCGCCCGCG